TTGCCATTTACCGTGTCATTATCCTTTGCACCTGCTCTATATTCCTTCTTATATTTCCTTGTTTGCGACTGTGGACTTACTCTTCTGATCAAGTCCCTTGAATATTTCTTTAGTACTTCTGCTGGTGGTCAATTGTTTTTATTTACATGAACGTGTCTTTCTTTCATGCTCATTCTTGAAGGACATCTTCACTGGCAAAATTATAGGTTGGCATAATTTTATTTTAGGACTACCTTTTCCTTGGCTTCCATTGTATCTTCTGAGAGGTCAGCTTTTCCTTCAGTTTTTGCTCCTCTGAAGAAAAGTTGCGTTTCCCCCCCACACCTCTGGCTGCTTTTCATGTTTTATCTTTGTCTTGTTTTGAAAAATGTTAGCATGATTCTCCCATGTGTACCTTCAAAAACATTTGTCCTACCTGTGGATCCTGCTTCAATTTATGTTTATGCTTCAAAGGTTTTAGAATTTTTAGCCTGGTTTCAAATTCTATTCTGCCTGATTTTCTCACTCTGTTTATTAGACTTGCTCTCTGTGTTTTCTGAGCCTGCCACCTTCTCTTCTACGTTTCAACCTCACATGTCTTTGTCCTTCTGGATACTGCTTCTGACCTTTCAGTTCACTAATTCTAGCTGTAATTAATCTGCCATTAAACCCACCTATTTGTTTTGCTATAATTGGTCTTTTTTTCAACTCCGCTTTTTTATTTTATTATTTTTATTTTAAAAACTTTTTTTAATGCTTACTTTTGAGAAAGAGAGAGAGAGAGAGAGAGAGCGCGCGCGCAGGGAAGGGGCAGAGAGAGAGAACAGAGGATCCAAAGCTGACTCCGGGCTCTGAGCTGTCAGTGATGAGCCCGATGTGGGGCTTGAACTCAGGGACTGCAAAATCATGACCTGAGCCAAAGTCACATGCTTAACTGAGCCACCCAGGCACCCCTCAACTCTGCCTTATCTTCCTTTATGTTTTCCACTCATATGCCCTGTTTCTCTATCCTGTCCTTTGTTTAATGGAATGTCAGAAGCATAATTATTTTATATTCACTCACAGCCCCTGTGGATCTATTTCTACTGCCACTTAATCCTGCTGTTAAAAAGAAACGTTGTCTTCTTGTGCACGAGGCTATTTTTTATTGTGTGCCAAATATGGTATTAATGATTATAGCAACAAATTGAGCACAGCCCTAGAAATTGAGAGGATTCCTTGTGGGAATCATAACTTGGTACATAGCTCATTAGTGCTCCGAGCTACGCACACAGAGTTCGCCTGCACTTGGCTTCCTCTTGGAGGGCCTTGGGCTTTGGTTTGGGCTTCGGAGAGTATTCTGCCTCCCAACCTCTCAGCTACCTTCTCCGGAGTCAGGCCTTGCCCATGGTAAAAGGGGTCGTAGATTCTGGGCTCATCATTTGGAGTTTATTTTCTTCCCAGATCATGGCTTAGTAATTTAAAAAAAAAAAAAAAAAATCAAACGTTCATAAGTAGAAGAGAAAAGTATCTCTGCAGATTAAACAATTTCCACTTTCTTTTTAGCTCTCTAATGCTTGTAAGAAGATAGTTTTTATCTTTGGCCTAGCTTTCAGAGTTTCTCTCAAAGGTAGGGTTGGCCTAATGTAAGACATTTCATTTTCCCTTACTGGAGCTGGAGGTCCTTGCGCCTTGGGCCTCTCCTTCCACTGGATTCCAGAGTAGCACTTGCCCCTTTTAAGGCCTCTTCCTCACACCTTCCTCTCCCTCCCCTCTGCTGCTTCTCCTTATCTTGCCAGTTTGCAAATAACTAAGTGCCCTGAGCTCATCCCTTGGTGCTCTTTTTCTCTTTTTCTTTTTCTTTCTTTCTTTCTTTCTTTCTTTCTTTCTTTCTTTCTTTCTTTCTTTCTTTCTTTCTTTCTT